GGGGGGGGTTCTCTCCGTCCCATATCTTGCTTCAAATGCGATGCATAGGCCTGTAGATTCGAATTTATATATACAGGGTAGGGTGGTGATGGAATTCCTTTGCTGAAACCCACTGACAGTAAACAACAAAAATAAATAAATAATATAAAAAATGTGAAAAGCCTAACCTTGATATTACGTTGCTTGATTTAAATAAATATTGCGCACAATATACATGTATATAATGACCGTGCTTTAGTCATATGGGAATGCAATTACTAAAATACTATACCATCTGCTCACTTAATACTGTTTTATGCCTCCTTTTGTGGCGAACATAAATCCCGTGACTCATTTCCCACGGCTGGGGATCCCCCATTCCCAGGGCTTTACACCAGTACTACATCCATTGATTGACATGTTTAGGCCAGACTTATAATGTACGGCAACCCTTGATGTCAGACGTGGAGAATAAATATCGTCAAGTTCAGCGGGGGGCACGGCGTCGTGCTTGCTTGCGAGGAATGCTCTTAAAGTACAGAAGGACCTCCAGGAAAATTAATACACGTCACGCCGTTCTTCCTCAACTGTTGGACTTGATGGTCCCTGGTGCCTGACTGAGCCCCCTGCCACCCCCCACATCGGGATTGCAAGCCTCAGTCAGGTCTCAGTTGTCAAATGACAGATAAAACCTTTGCTGAACCTGTAGAATACTCGGGCCAGTTCCCTATCGATTCACAATTCCTCTAATCGATCGCACTCGACACGTGTATCGAGGTACATGCACTGTACATGTGCGAAGTACAAAGGACTGTATATCACTGGCATATGGCGCGCTGCAGCCGTGATGTTTGTGGTCCATGCACCGTTAACATTGCATCTGTGACAGAATTTCGACCTGCATTATCAGACCTGTACACTCTGGGAAAAACGAGGTAAGTGACACGATCGAGTGTTGTTATAAAGTGAATCCGCATACTTGAAATTAAAGTCACTGGATTTGCACACGTAGACCATGGAGGAAGACCATGCGTAGACCTACTTAATACTTATCATGTATATTTGGGCACCACAGTTGACTGAACGATTTACTACCAGCAAGGAATACAAAATGATAACACTATGCAGCGTGACCGGCGCTGACCCAGTTCAAGGTTCAGTTGAAGCATACAATATGCAATATTTGGCCGACCGTACTGCTCACGCGGCTATTCCAACGCATGTACAACGTTGAAGCATGTTGTGACGACGTGAGTTTACTGAGTTTGTACTCGGCACAAAACTCTGACGAATGTACAGAACCCGGCTTTGTGGTCCGATGAAAACACGCATAAAGAAAGTGAGTAGAATAACCATACTAAAACGCAGCATGTCATAGTGGCAGTCTTCGTCTGACCATTCTACCTCCATGGTCTGACGGCTAGGTGGTCGTTTCCACCGACCGTTGGCTAGCTTGGCACAAGTACACGTACAGTAGGCCTGGTATATATACAGAGAAAGCACTGAAAAATGTACAGTCGCTGAGCCCACGTAGCATGAGAGGAAAAGTGTTTATCAGCAGTACATGATGTCCCTGTGGGTCGATCGTTGACCAACAGCTTCAGTCTTTATTGAACCATGGTTGAAATGTCCAACTTCAAAGTCCATTTTCCGAGAGCCGCCCTTAAATTGTTGGCAATTCGTCAACTACCTTCCACAAGCAAGGCCTGAAGAAGCAATCGAAAAACCAATCTCTAATCTCCTATGAACCTCCTATAGCCGGCAAAGCAGAGACATAACCTAGATTATCCGAGAATAGGAAAATATCGGCTCCATCAGCAGTGGTTAAACCCCCTTTTCAACGGCGACTTTCTTTTCAGTCACCACATTCACAGAGTGGCCTGCGACCTGCACTGAGCGTGTGTGGCTGTCGCTACAAAGGGGACCGTACATATGGCGTCATCGTCATCAACCGCGTGCATCAGGAGGGTGTCGGAGCAAGAAGTTCATGCAGCCTGGCTGCTACAGGCGGGTAAGCCCAACGACTCCAGACAGAAATGAGCCGTCCATATAAACACGACTGGCTTGTCAGTTCTCATAGGGTGTAAATGTAGGTCTATAGTCGGACGAAAGGGGTCGAATGTGGCGCATTTTTAAGCCTCGGGTTTAATATGCAACATGCCGACCAAAGCCAAAAGAAAAGAATCTGGATTTTTTCAGTTCATTTTCTTATATTCATTTAACACGCATCATTGTGGTCGAGACATTTATTAATGTTTTAAGACAAAAATCAGTTTCCGTTTTCACGGCATATTTGCTCCGTGTTGTTCCTGCTTTATATTTTGAGCTACCTGTTTCCGCGGCGTTCATAAGTACATTCCTCAAAAAAGACAGTCCTGCGCATGCATTCCCAATTTATAGACCACTGTCACTTTGCCGACAACTTGTATGGGCGGCTGAAGTTTGCAAGAATGCCACCTTTTGGTTTGTTTTTCGATTTTACTTCAAATTCGTTCAAAATAGACAGTTTGTCCGTTTAATTTTAAACAGAGTTGTATTTTCATTTACTTGTAGTATTTAGTAGTACTTGTATATTTATCTGGAGTTCTGACAGCTGTGTTGGATTTTCAACACTTTGTGAATTATTCTATCACTTTTGTTCTGCCGGCTTGCCATAGCTTAAGCAGCCACTTGTATGCAAAACACGACTGTGACTTCAAAAGAACAGACAGGCCATTGTAGCCTGCTGATGAAAAGGAAAGTGCCACGTTAATTGTGGAAGTCACGTGAGTCCGGTGCTTTTCCATAACGAATTGGCTTCAGTGCACATCCATGTTGCCTCGTTCGCTGTGGTATACGAGGTCATGGATTTTACAGGTGTTCCACTGCCAAGTCAGATTTTGATTTTTGTCGGATGTTTTTACGGTTGATGCACTGCAGCACAATCAGTCGCGAGGTTCCAAATTTTAAAATTGCTCTGAGTTCAGACACACTGTTGTGTGAATCAATTAAGAATAAATTAAGGCTGTGTAGTGATTTGTAGCCGGTTTAAAGGCCGTAGGCGATGACAGTTATCTGACTGGAAAAAAATTGAAAGGTAGTGTCTGTCGCCATAACCTCAGCTTTACCCGAGGCGAGGGTATATTGGTAATTTTAGTACAGATGGATTGATGTCAAAGGGGATACTCCAGTGCAGGAAAGGCTAGGTTCAGCGTACTGATCAACCTTACTCGAGCCAAAATAATCACATAAAAACTCTCAATCACAAAAATTCTCAATCCTTTTTAAAGAAGACTGACAACAAAATGTAGGATAAGCAGAATGAAAGTTCCACCTTAAACCGCAATTCTGCGTATTTAAAAAAATTGTTTTCTTTTTTGCAAATTTTTTGAACTCGAAGGGTTGGTTTTGGGGAGTCAGAGTTGACTCGATACCAATCTTATTTAAGGCGTTGTGATGGCTTTTGTTCAATTAATTTTCATATTGGAAATGTCCCAATATACTGACTTGGTCTTGGCACTTGAAACACGACATGGGTGTGCTCATGGACCCTGACTCGACTTAGACTTCGACTAGTCTCGACTCCACCGAGGTAGCGTTCCTTTAAATGATTTTTAAACCAACTTCCGTGTCATTGAAACTCGGGTCTTTTCCCCATGCAGGTTTGGCAAGCGAAGAAGAAACGTTGCCCGAGGGAGCACTGCAGATTAGGCAAAAAGTAGCCCCAGACTTATTCTGGGGCTACTTTGAAAACGGTCGTTTGATTGGTGTAAGTTGACAAAAGTAAAACCATCCTAATGCACCATAACGCTTACCTGCAGATTTTCGGGAACTTGTTATTGACTTTTTGACTTTACAAATGAAAACTTTATTTCGTTCCATTTGGAACGAACAAAAATTACAATAACTCGAAATTATTGAGCGAAGACACCACAAAGGCAATTTGTGGATAACAAACGGCGACATGGAAAATGTGCTGGCTCAACGCCAGTTATAATGCATAAAACTATGGAATGTTCATGTCAGGGGTAAACCCAATCTACGAACTTTTTCAGCAGCATATAAATGATTTATCTGTTAACCTGGCTTATAGTGGTCTGTTTGTCATGCCTCTCGTCACTGTCTTGTGTGACGTAGGTTCGGGTCTTGCCTTGACCGACATATGGATCAATGTTTTTCAGTCCTTACTTAGGACTATAGTTCTGCATTGATTTTTCTTGAGATGTCATCCGAGAATATTTCTCCAGCCTCCAAACTGAAATAATCTTCCTCCTATGTTTCTAGAGCGTTTGTATTATCTTAAATTCAATCGCGTATGTTTTCTTGTGTTTTTGTCAAGTTTGTTAGTGGTGGTAAGACTTCTAGGAGTAAAATGGCGGTCGATGCCAAGTTTGTCCACGACCCTGACGGCTGCACGGTTTGTTTACATACACTACGTGTCCAACCAGATTACCAAGGGAAGGTTAGTACATCAATTGTATCAACTTGATAATGATCTTTATTTGTATAACAGTCTTGTCTGAGGTGGTTTTTATTATTTTGCTCAGTGATATCATTTTTTTCACACTTATTGCAATAACTTACAATACTTGGACGCAACCTGCCATCTTTCCTTTACTCATCACCCACACAATTCCAGTTACATTTTCGTCGGATTTTCCCTCTTCTCTTGCTCACCAATAGAGTTGAGATAAGACGAGAAATCCAGAGAAATAAACAGGAAAGTTGTTACCCTCATGCAAGTCTCTTACAGGGAATACTTGTTTGCTTGGTTATTGGGTCAGAAAAAAGATGCTTATACCCAGTCGCCTGTGCGGATTAAAATTACCCCGTAATACAAAAGAGCACTGTATGCGATTTGGGTGAAACTTTCTTATGCACCGAACAGGAATGTTGCATAACAACAACTTCGGGGAAATGTTGTCCTCGTACTGTCGAGGTTTAAAGGTTCGGAATTTTCTCTCCAGCTCTGAGAAACTGGCTTATTTTGAAATAAAATTACACAGCTAAGCCATGCAGAAATCTTTCTGTAATTGTCGAAAGTCCCCATGAATTTGCTTATCATTAACGTTTCTTTCCTTTTGGGCAGGGTATTGAAACTATTCTTATTGATCATCTCTTGTGGTACGTTGAAGAAAACCTGAAGGGTGTTAATAAGGTCAACCTTATTTGTCATGATAAGCTGGTGCAATTTTACGAAGGGCTGCACTTCCGGTGTCTGGGACCTTCAGACGTCAGACTGGGTAGGTGTATTTATCGTCGTACCGTTGCCTCAGGGTACATAGATACGGTGCTAGGGAGGTTCTTGACTTTAAATGTCCATCCGTTTAAATGTTGGCTTTGCCTATACGATTCGGCTCCAAGTTCCTACTTACAATTTTTGACCTCTGACTTCAGACCCCCTGTTTCATTGCACATCCATTTTATCGCCAAGTTTCTGTCACAACATTGCAGGGAAAAGGTCTATAAAGGACCGAAGTGGGACGTCATTTGAACCAAGAACCATACCTTATCGTATTCCACCATGCAAACCTTCAAGAGCTGCACGAACTGCATTGCAAACGAATGGAGATACGTGGGCGTGTTGGTTCACGCGCTGGTTTTCGCACTAATGCCTCTTATTGTGCGCGTGGATTATTCACTTTTGGTGCTCCATAACCTTTTGAAAAAAAACAATGTTCTTGGAGCAGAGAGGACTGTAGGGGTTTTCTATCATGACAGGAACTTTAGGTCTGAGAAATCTTGCCAGAGAAATAAATGTTCCTTGTCGCCTCTTATTTATTTATTTCGTAGTTTTATTTGAACAAGGTACATGTAGCCCTGTCAGTTAAGAAACTGTCATCCTTGGAGGCCCTGTAATAATACAATAATACAGTAACAATACGACCGTTTCACAATAGTGCGCCTCCAAGAGTTTGCAACGCGTTGGCCAATCACAATGTGCGAAATTTGTCCACCCAGTGCGCGCGTTTGGAAAGGGTCGACAAATTTCGCCCGTTATGATTGGCTAACGCGTTGCAAACTCTTGGTGGCGCACTATTATGAATTGCCCGTATTACAAACCTATACACGATACAAAAAATATACAGTATTATTTTTAAATATATAAACTATAAGCGAGTGAAATTTATTTAGCATATTCAAAAAAATTAAAATTGATTTTAAGTAAATTTAACACGCACTGATTACAGAAAGGATCCAAACCATTACAATTTTTGTCATTAAGACGCTTATGAAGACTAAAAGAAGGACCCAGAAACTAAAACGACCAAGGGCAGTGTAAAATAAAAAATAAGAAGTGCATAAAGTGTTAAAAAACAGTTGCTTCATAAAAAAATAGAAAGACAAGAAATATAAATCTTACTCATGTTCGTTAAAGTAAAACTGGACTAAGTCATAAGAAAATAAACTCAGAATTTCTATCATAAAGTAGTAATATGTTTGAATTAAAAAGAGATTTGAAAGCCTTTAAAGCTTTGGCGTGTCGCTGAGTTGAAGCTAACGCGTTCCATCCCAGGGTCCCACGATATTGAAAGTTATGACCAGCGACATTTGTCCTGGGAGCAGTAAGGAGGGGTAATAACCCATTCTTAATGTCTCAGTGCCCACAGCCGTTTCTTGTATTTTTTCAAATGTCCACCGACATGTCTTTCTGATTTCACAGGTTCCAAACAGTGGTTTGACATGGAGTATGAGGTGACACATGAGAGCACAGGCTTCGCATAATTACTGTCACAAGGCCCTGCGCGTGCACGCATCGTCTAGCCGTCTGTTCGTCTTCTCACAAGTAGAAGCATTCCTCTGGACACAGGTGATCCTTCTTTTTAAATTGTCCCTCCGCATTTCTCTAAGCCTGGACGGTCAGGTGTACTTCTAGTCCCTTGTTGCTCCACTCGTTGGGAGAGAATGTCTACCTGAGCCAGAAAAAAACACGCGAAATATTTGCGGTTTTTTTTAATGATGAGCCATGAATGTTCTCTCTTGTGAAGTACTTTCATCGTTTGTCTTGTGATTTGATTTGATTTGATTTGAACTGATTTGATTTATTTGATTTGATTTGACTTGACGTATCTTAATATTATATCAAGGAAAATATGATAAGATGGTAATCGAACGATTCGATGCATTTTTTGTTGGGGAGGCGAGTTGATGAGATACAGTATAATGCATAGAGACCCGCGTCAGTGTACACAATTTTCTGTTATGTTCTTCAGTTTGGCATTTCCGAGTTGATGTATAATTATACTTCATGTATTTTAGAGATTTATTCAGTTTGTTGATTCCTACCGATCTTGTTCATTTGTAGTAGCTACATGGTGAAGCGTCGCATGGTTTCAAAGGTCGATCTTAGATCGCGGAAACAGACCTTTTGCAGTAATTGTTGGGTGGGGGCGCTACACATTACCAGAGCTGTACGGGAACTGCTCCTTGAAAGCATTATTCAGGGGGTTTCTGCTTCTTCCTATAATGTTGCCTCAACATGTATATCACTTGTATCATGTCGAGGAGCAATGTCGAAATTGAGGCAGTCGTATACGTGTACATACCCTATTGCTTTGGTAACAGGATTTTAGCTGCTAGAACAGTTACAGCTTCGATGACTCGTATATAAAAATATAATTTTGCCACCAGATAATTGCAGATATTGTATTCTGAGTATTTAGCACGTATTGATTTGTACAATGAAGTTGCCATTGTTGTACATTTAATGTATAATGGATATATTCAGCAGTCCCAGCTCCCAGCCGGTGGGGTCTCGACTCGTTGTTAAGTTGATTGTCGTCCTTTTGGACTCCTGATACGTGGACTCCTTCAGCAGAGAGCATATGAGCAAATGAACTACTTCACCGCTCTGAAAATTCATTGGATTTTCCAGGATTATGACTTTTCGAGAGAACTGTATGTGAAGCAAAACTTGTTGAGTTTGTCAAGGCTGCATAATCTGCCAAGGACGGGGAAAAATCAATCGAATTTTATCTAAATTGTAGTGTGGAATATTCTCCAAATGGGTGGCTGCTAGTTTTTAGCTGCTGGTCACTATAACTTAGTACTGAACTTTCTACTTATTTAACTAAACAGAATCAATTGTAAGATGCTCATGGAACTCCTTATTATCTCGATTGTGCAATTACATTGTGTATAGGTTTATATGTGATTTTTGTCTTTACATAGTTTATGTTAAGTGCCTTTGCGTTGTTGCAAGTTTGATCGCGTTTATTGAGTCGTTTTGTGATTGTTTCAAACTGCATTTTATTGTTTTAATGGTGAGGAAATGAAATTTTCTTAAGGGTGCATGAAATAAACTAAATTCCAGGGAGCTGCTTTGCAGCTGTAGATAAATTCTCCGACCGATTGGTTTTGTTACATGAGGGGGATAATGCTAAAGTCAGGTTTTCGTCAGTCGCTGGACGTGTAAACTATAATGCCCACTTGCCTGCGGCAAATTTGGTTGGTCAGTCTGCCGATCGGTTGGTCGATCGATCGCTGAGTCTGTTGGCTTAGTTGGAATCGAGTGATTTTTCTCGAGTGCAAATGGCAGGCAATCACTATTTACATCACCAGGGCTTTGGTCGGTTATATCGGTGAGTATCTTAGCGTGAGAACGTACTTGAAAGTTAAAAGAGTGATATCAGATAGATTGCATCAGGACTGCACTGTAAAAACGTCGGGCAATACGGGCGTTTCACATTAGTGTGCTTCCAAGAGGATGCAAGGCGTTGGCCAATCACAGTGCGTGAAATCTGTTGACCCGGTGCGCATCTGGAAAGGCCTACAGATTTCACGCGTTGTGATTGGCCAACGCGTTGCAAACTCTTGGAGGCGCACTGTTGTGAATCACACATATTTTTACCCCACGTTCTGTACCGTGCGAATCGCTTAAGTGTTGGACAAAAAGACCAAGCGTTGGGTAAAGAAATGGTAGTAAAAATAACAATTTCTCTAACCGTAACAGATAATGTCGTGCCTATGAGAAGTGGCTTCGTATCCATGGCTTTCATGTGCTTGTCCAGCCGCAGCTACATGGAACTTTTTTACAAGGCTTCTCTAACTTGTCGATGCATTTTGTCTAATGAAGGACTGTCAAATTTGAACACGGAATGCTCCCGAAGCCTCGATCGCAGAACATAAATGAGCGGTACCCCCGTCGGCAGTGAAAGCCTAGCGTAAGTCCACATTGTAGGGGCGGTCTTTGTTCGGCTTGACATAAAGTCCTGGCATACTATCTGCATTGTCCCTGACACAAGTTGGCAGAAGCTTCAATAACTGCGTTTCTGGCGCAGACATGACGTCATCTACCCGCACAAAATCGTGGCAAAAGAAGCTGGTTGGTCGCTCATTGTCATCCATGTTGATCACTTAGGCCTAGGCTCTTTGGCACTGCACTGTCCACTTAGAAGATTATTCTTTTGCGTACTTTGGTTAAATCTTGCCCTTTTATCTTTTTACAAAAGCATATTATAGAGGCCGTTCGTATTGTCCCTTTCGTGTTCAACGTCGATGAAATTCATGTTAAGCATTGTTAATGGAGGAATAACACGCCCCCTGCTCAGTTCTTTTTTTTGTTGACTGAGACCATTTCAGCAGTGCTTCCACAACCGTCACCAGATGTATATATGTGATAATCCTGACATCGATGTCCGAGGACCGAAAGGATCTGAGTTTCCCATCCGAGATTTCGGCCCTGCAGGACCGCAAGTTCACGTCCGTTTGCCGACCGTGCCAATTACTCCTGGCCACCAGAGACGGTAGGCTAGCTTTTGAACAAGGCTCTCTGACCTTCCAGAGGCAGATTTGTTCATGCACCAAACAAAAACATACAAATATACATCTTTTACACATTAATTTCAGTACTACTTTCTGGCACGTTTAGTTAATATGATCTTACACTAAGAGGGTCCTCTTTCACTGTCGTGAGTGCTGTAACTGTAGGCTGTTTCTAACATTAACGTTGAAATAAATATAACATTAATGTAAAATTTTGTTTTGCTTGATGGAAATCTTCTGTACACGCATACTCGATGTACAGAGCTCGGTGCAGAAAGAAGAAATTCGCAGCTACGTTTATTTTCCTCACACATCATGCACCAGTGCATGTTTATGGAACTTCACTCCATCTGTACGATTTTTTTGCTGACCACTTTGCCTAACCATCCTCAATTCTTAAAGTGCAGGAGGATTGGGGAGTACTATTAGGGTTAACAGGGTTGGTTAATAGGCAGTATTGTAGTCGAGACCATCACAAGACCAGACGCAAGACTGGACACAAGACCTTGCACAAGACCAGTCACAAGTAATATTGTGCACAATGACAAAGGAATGCTTTTGTTGCCGTTCATTTAAATAGCTTGTGACTGGAATTCAGACTTCAGTCTTGTGTGGTCTTGTGAAGGTATTAGGCCTAAGTGGTCTCGACTACAACACTGTTTATAGGGTTGAATTAATAATGTACAGGACCAAATCAAGTGTAAGTATAGGGGTCCTGTTCAGTTCAAAGCACTGGCAACCATGTCACAGGGTATTTGTATCTTTTGCATTATATTTAGCAATGCTTTCCAAAACACAGAGTGTGTTTCATTGAACGCTGCGGTATTTTCGTTGGCTTTCGAAAGTCCTCGTAAGCTCCCAATTTTTCTTCTCGCGTAGACCCCAGGCGCAGTGCCTGCCAATTGGGCAACCTGACCCTGCCGGTTTAGTGAGCTGATGCTACATAAATTGTGTTTATTTGTGCCGATTCAGTCCAACTTTGGGTCAATACCGCACTTTGAACCTGAATAGCAATATCAGATAAGTCAAATGTTGCTAGTTTACGACCAAGGAACGTTTAATTTTTCATGCACTCTGTTAGATATCCACGAAAGGAATCTATCAGATTGATCATTACCCCAAACCTGATTTCTGAGACATCATTCATATATTTAGAGACTATTGACACGGGATAGAGAATTTCACCAAATGAAACCAACAAGCGGTAACAGTGGTAATGGAGATCAGTAGCGCACGAAAAAGATTCAGTGTATACACATAATGAGTGTTTATTAGTGCAGCGGGGAAAAGTATGGAGCATTTCATTTGTAACCCAATGAAATTACTCTGTCCATTGCACGAATGTGAAACTCTCTGTTTTATACAACAGCTGACTAAATCCTGGTTCGGGCGCAGCCTCTATCCTAGTGTCATAGCGCCCTCGTTAAATTCATTATAAGGGTTATTTACTATCTGCTGGCTTACGTGTTTTCAGTGCCGTAAACAAGCCGTATGCTAGATCTCTTTGTAAAAGGGTTTGCCAATGGGTTCGTTTATTCTAAACACCGGCCTGCATTCTGTATTCCTTTTGATTTTCCAAAGGCCTTCAGTACCTCCGATTGTGACCTATATACATGTTGGCTGGAGGATTTCCTGATTAGTTGCCCAGTTCGGTTTAGAAATCAGATGGGCCTATCGAAGAAAAGAAGACAGCCTCTCATCATAAACAGAAGAACTTAACATCAAAATAAATTTAATCTAAGTAATTTTGTTTTTACCCAATGCCATTTCGGCCAAACCAAGTACGTCACACTGTTATCCGACACAAGTAGTCGACAAAAGCATGTCGATCGCAAAGATAAGGCTGGTGTGTTTCTTTCTTTGTTTAATCAATGCAAACATACCAGTGGCCGGAGGCGGGTAGACTTTTAACCGGTCCTTCCATTGTTTTTCGAGCTGCCTATTAACTATTGAGGCGGGGACTAGACGATCAGCCCTGCCTGTCAGTTGTTTGCTGGTTGTATTGTGCAGCTTTAATTGATGTTCGTAATTGTAATTCAAATTTCTTTTAAAATAAGGAAGTGTAAAGCACTTGTACTTTTAATCCGTTGTTTCGACAAAATGTAAATTATGTGATCTGCTACAAACATACTTTCCCTTTCCCCTCATTTGGTCACACTTTTTTTTAGTTCCACGTACAATTTACGCATGCCTAGTCGGGCGACTGTAGCGTTGACTTGTGTGTTTGCTTTACTTACCATTTTCTTCACGTTTTTTGTTTACTTTCGTTGGTGATGTGCAGTTATCACGTGTTTATGCTTATAACATAAATATTATTGCTTTCATTTGCCACTATGGGTAATTTCGTTTTCAAATGAGAGGAAGTATACTTGACTAGCTCAGATTTTCCCACCCCTAATATCTGCCTGATATCTGAAATATTACACCTGTAGTGAACAACAGGTATACTATTTCAGTTCAATTCAAAATACTTATTTATCTTTAAAAAGGCAATTGTAATATATGTTTGGATACCGTAGCTCATTAAAAACACCATAAATAAATTACCAACTAATAAATTAAAAGAGATTTATTACATGAAAACACTCACAAACATCATTTACTTGTTTTGATTAAAATGGTGTAAAAATGTGATTTCTTATACTGTACATGAAAAGTTTAGTCAAGGAATGTAACCATGACATTAAATGAATGTAAAATGGCCAGTGAGATTTAAAATAACAAACATGGACCTAAAAACTGCCTACCAATGTCTAAAAAGAGCAAATATCATTTTGTATAAAAGTTTAATAGCCACTGGTATGAACGAGAATTTCTCTCTGTTGGTTTTGCATGGAGGACATCTTAGACGGCATCTGGGGGCAAGGCAGACAAAACTGTGATTGAGAATTCGTCAGAAGAGCCCCAGGAAGGTGAGGGATTTCATTTGAAAAATGGCAGCTGAGAAGACTTGGGAACATTCACTTGGGGAGTGAATTTGTTTTGGGCAGAAAATTAAAATTCATTGGTTAACCTACAAATATTGAAAATCAAACGAAATCTGAAGGACCAAACATTACATTGTTTTTTGTTTCCTCGGGGACTTCAGTTGCCTGCCATGGGGCTCCAAACTTTGATTTTACACTATTTTCAATGGAGCTTGAATTGGTTCAGTACACCCGTAACTTTTGGTAGCCGCCATGTTGTTCAGACCCATGCACAGATCCAGGCAAAGACGTCACGCGCGCACGGTACACACAATTATTACAATCAACAACAGCGCTCTACACACATAAATGTATATTCTGAATCATCTGAAGGACTCTTGCACAATTCCCAAATACAAATGACGACATAAAAACACACCGAACACAGTAGAAAAATGTATAAAATTTGTAGAGCTGACCAAAACCACTGGTGCCACAAGTGCAGCGCCCTCAAGAAAAAAAACTTACCTTTGAATGCCACATCATAAAGGTGGTTTATGTCGTAAATATGAGCAAAGCAGATCTATAGAATGATTCATATGAAAGTGTCTCTTTTTTGCAGGGCCCAAAATGAGACCCTCCGCTCCCTGATACTACTGAATTCGAGGAGAGTTTCTCAGACTCGATCTGATTGCCAAAAAGTGACATCATATGGAGGAAGTGGTACGTGTGATCGTGAATTCATGTGTGCTTGTTTGTACCAGCGCACAAAACATCCTCTGTTCTCTGAAATTCTCGGCTTTGCATGCTTCATACAGGGGAAAAAGACACTTGCGTCGATAGGCTTTTTCTTTTCAAAATGGCTCTGTTTTATTGGTACTGTAAGATTTTGCATCGAAGTTGGCGACTTACCATACCCTACCTAGGCGGAACCAACCTGGCGCGGCTGCCTGTACTGAGGTACTTCATCGCCGTTTATTGACCTTAGAACTGCGCAGATTGTCAACAAAGATTGACTGTTCAGGCTATCACAGAGCTTTGAATGTTCAATAGATGTCCAATTGAATACAGGCACGCGCGTACTAACTGACAAGGTGCCGGGATATCTTGCATATGGTGCGCGCACTATGCGTGGCAGGTAGGTGTGGAACGCTGTGACGTTATATTTGAGGCTGTGTCCTCACCCTCCTCTGGACTCCGCCCTCATACCAATCGCCTCAGCGCTTAGCATTAATGGTTGAGTTGTGATATATAAAATTGAGATTATCGCAAATATGGCGAACGTTATCGTATGTTGCTGTATGAGGGTTAATGGATAATTCTGTATTGCTGATTGGAAAATGATTGCAAGTGTTTTTCCTAAAGACTGGTTCTTACTTGGCACGAAAGGGAACACAAACGCGTATTCGTGACGTCAGAACAAGGTTGAATACATTTCGTGATGTCAAAGTCGATTCGCTTTCGCATTCTCGTGAAATACGAACCAGCCCTAAGGTGTACAATATTTCGACAGGCGAAGTTAACACTGCAGCTATTTCAAAATCATCCGGCACTTGAAGTGTTTGAGGATCCGGTCATTGATGTTTTAATACAAATTTACCACTACCGGGTCTATATTGCACATGCGCGCTGTCCCATGTTTATGTTTCCCTGGGTTGGGAATCAGGCTTTCAGTCTTATCCACACCTAAACTCAAAAGCAGCAATTAACCCTAACAGTCCTCAATCCACCTGTTGGAGGACTGAGGACTGTTAGGGTTAAAGAACTAATAAGAGTGGTCGAGGCAATCCCAGTGGCGCACCCAGGATTTGTCGGGGGCGGGGGCTGGGATCGGATTACCCCAAACATTAATTACCCTAATCATGATACTTCTTAAACTCTCCCCCGCCCCCAGTTTTACCACAGGGGGCTAGGATTTAACTTCGATTTTCAAAAAGAAAAAAGCCTGAGGAAGGCCCCTAGGCCCCTGAAGCCCCGGGTGCGCAACTGGACAATTCCGAATTCTTTTGTGTCAGCATGGGTGTAAATCCCGGGGGAATGGGGGTATATACCCCCCCCCCCCATTTTATCACCGGGGGGTGGGCTGTTGATTCATCCCCCTACTTTGTCGTGGTGAGAAAAAAATTAGGAATTCCCAACAACTAAATATATTCAATGGCACACAAAAGGGATACCAATAGAAAAAAACACATGAAAATGCCGTTCTGACTCTGTACAAATTACAGATGTAGGCCTACATCTTTTTCATATAAATCAAGAACCTGTATATAGTGTCATATGGTGCAACCCCCCATGTCCATGGCCAGGAAGGTCATCCCCGACAACTCCCCCCCCCCCCAATTTCCAGAGCAAATTTACACCCCTTATAGTGTGTCATCCACGACATTTCGATATTCAGAGAAATCCGTTTCTTTGTATTTTGTGTCAGTGTATACTGCGAAAGAGGAGCAGGAAACATTTTCAAGCACGTTTCTTTGTTCAGTGGTTTATGTAGGCCCTTTCCTTGTGTGGTTCAAATGAGACCGGATCCCGACTATTCAATATACACGGCCCGATTCACCAGTTTGTAAAGTAGACGTGGTGTTATGTGCTGTACCTTGAATACCGGAAATACAAGTATGTCAGGTTCGTGTACTTAGGGGAAGTTTAGTGCATACCACGTGTAGTTCACCGGACGGATGTAAGCCTTGTTTTCAGGTATTATTCTCCTCCATTCCATGATTTGTAACCAACTCGAGCCTATTTGTTTGTTTATCTGATAACGGTTCTGGCTTATTTGGTAAACTATGAGAAGATAAAAGTTATCACGTGCGACCGTCTCTCCATGATCCAAATACTGTACATTCGGGTTTTGTACATTGTTCGCGACAGCTGGCTGGCAGTTCGGACGGCAACGTTGCGCACTGATACTAGTATACCATTGCACTGTTGGACTGTTGAGTTTGTGCAATTCAGGAGTCTCGTCAGTATTATCTGAATCGGCCAAATACTTTGTTCAAAAGGTTTTGTTTCTCTCACCCAAATCTCTCTATGCGTGTTTGTAGTGCATGCACAGTCTGATTGGACCACAACCAATTCACCGAAAACACTCAGTTGATTTCCACCTGCAACTCTACACATCATACGGCTTGCCCACGAAGGCTGAGGAGTGCACTCTCGGGGTAAGTTTACTAGTGCTCCCTTAACAAGTTGGTGATATGTGGGGTCGTCAAGAGCCTCTACATAAATAATGTGGAATGCTGAGATCCAGTATCTCTTGCCATATGAAAGTGTGTTTGCTGTATTCTTCATCTTTCAGTTAACTAAACTACGGTAGTCCGGAGGGGACACGCATAGGCGGTTTCAGTATAGTTTTTCAAGAAAGACTAGATGACTACAGAATCCCTTTGAATTGGCATTCAGTTGAAGCGAAGTATTTCCGGGTTTTGAGTCCGAGAGTATTCGGGTAGTTAACTGATAGTCCACGGGAGATTTGAGGTCTAGTTTCACCAAAATTTTGAAGTCTTGCAGGTTGAAAAGAAATTGCTATAAAAAAAGTTCACCTTTAATTTAAAAAAATAAACACACAGATTGTAAACTTCTAAAACAATTGCTGAATCCTGCGCTAAAATGACCATGCACCACCCCTTTCTTGTCATTGTTCTGGAGGACTACCAGAGAACATGTTGGGAACTGTCCGGATTGCGGCCAAAAAAAAATCCTCTGCTAAACCCCACGCTTGATGGATTCTGCTGGTTGCTACTTCGTTGAGCTTTCATTTACGTGTTGTTTGAAAAGTCGCCCACGTCAACGTTTTAATAGGCCTTCAAGCGTGCGTGAGGAGTGAGTTTCGCATTGATAATGGTGTACGCTACGCACAATGCTTTGCGTTTCCTCCATATTTATGTGAAACAGCTGAGCCGTCCCCAGCTCCCATGAGTAAACCGGAGGCTTAAGTAAGAGCTGTGCGAATCTTGTGTCTAGAGCATGGTCTAGGTCTTCGCCGGCTCCAAATACACGTACGCTGGATGGAACATGAAGACAGTAAAGACCAGTTGCAGCTCTGGAATCCCATTCCGGACACGTTGGCTGTACTTGCAACTGTGCCATTGCAAGAGGGCGCTGTGTAGTTTATACTACTCATGGAACGAGTAGATGGGGCTAGGCAGCGCTTACATTTCGCGCCTGTCCGCGAACGTGCTCTTTCTTGTATCCAGATGTTCTCAGAAAGGCCGATCGAACTGGTGTGTAATCTGTCAATTCAAAGAATCACCTGGTACGCTTTTAGCTCTTCTGAAAGTAAATTGCTAAATGTTACCCTATTTAAAGTTACCAAAACTAGCCACTAATTCCCAAAACAATTCCTAGCATCTGTAGTGATTATTAACTGCCGTTACAACTTCATGTTATTCGCATGAAGGTAAGATTTGTAACAGGGTCGTCAACATATTGAAACAGATTTAACTCATTCTCCATGACATTCCAATCTTATTGCATGTAGGCCTACATAGAATTTTAACTTGGCGGACAACTCGCAGTTTTAAGCTCGATGCATTTTTACGTTGTTTTCTCGCCATACACTTTTAAATTGCTGGTCTGATGATTTTCATTTCCTTTGCTTCCGCCACACATTAAAATGCGATGATGGTGTGTTTGAGCCTATGCCGTAAATATTAGTGTTTCGTTTGTAATATATTTCCGTTTCGTTTAGAGCAGGTATTTACACACAATTTAATGCGGATATCTATATCCGACAATTTGAGCTTTGTGTGGATGTTTAGTTTACATTCATTTTGAGGCAGCATCAATTCCCTTCTGTGTGGTGCACGTGGTAATTTGAGTGAAGCAATTAAATCGAACCTAGTGCTCTCTACGCTCTAAATTTTGAACTCTCTCTAAGGATTGTTTAAAATAATGAAAAGCTGCAGCATAGTTTTCAGGGTGCATTAAGCCCCCCCCCCCATTTTTTTCGTTTTTAGGTCTTGTGCAATTCTGAGTATCTTAAAAAGTAGATTTTTTTTCATAAAAATAGACAGCAAATCTGCCACACTCACAAATATTCACAGTTTTTTTTCATCCAGATGATGTTGTGTAGGCCTATAAGATGGAATATTCAACAATGTAAATTTAGCTCCCAATATGTTAAACGTAGCCTAGCGGAAGATTTTCAAGATTGGGGGCTACTTTTTAAAACTTCTTGGGAGACAAACAACTTGGTGGGCTGCAAGGTTACAGTGTAAAAACAACATGTAGAGTTAAACACATTTTGCGTACCCTTTTTTTTACAGTTTAATAACCACGACATGTGTAGCGGACATAGTTAGCGGATTAAGCGGATTCAAAAAGCTAGACAGGAACCGTGGAAAGCGTTTAGCATTGAAACACATTCCTAGTCATTAATAACTGTGTCATGGCTTAAAAGTGTGGGGGGAACTGGGTACAAAAAGTTGTTTAATTAAACTCTAAGCGTTGTGTACTTCTATACTTTGGAGTCATTGACGTAACCACACTGTAAACAAATTGTGATGTTAATTTAACACCCCAAGTGTTATCAGAGGACTACACCTGACTGAGTGCAGCCCACTGGTGACACCCTGGGTGTTGAATTAACACCAATATGACACCAGAGTTTATTTGCGGTGCATTTAGCCTCTTCTCAGGGGAGGTAGGGGGGCAAGAGTTTCCACAGAGATGCAGTTGCACCCCTCCACTCGCTGGCGGACACTGGAACAATTTCATTTCGTGTTTGAGCCAGCTCAAAATGAGAGCATATAACAGTGCGAGCTCTGTCTTGTTCCGTTTAATATGTAAGCAAGAATGTGTCCCATTTCAACCCATTGAGGAGAGTTTCCTGATTGACCATCATTTTGGAAGCCATATTGCTCTAGGTAATTGTCGTCTTCATGTCTTCATTTTGCTATGTGCAACTAAGAACCCTCTTAATGTTTGCTTTTTAAAGATTATGAAATGATTAGTGAGGACCTTAAGACGAAACCCAAATATTGAAAACTATGCTATCAGTTGGTGCTGTTTACTCTCTCTCTGAATTATTACATCCGACATGGATTAATGGTAATGGGAAAAATATCGAGAAAAGTTTAGTAATTGTCGTCTACTATTCGTTTGAATATTCATTGTCAGGGTTGGTGCCTTTTCGGCCTTTGAAATGAGCTTAACATTCAAAAGAAATCCTGGATCAAATTTAAATGGCCACTTCTATCATGTGACCGGGAATACCACACTGTAAAATACTACTGTGCAATGAGCAGTATTGTATTGTTGCATTTTTGCAACGTTAATTAGCGTAAATTTTTGCAAACAAACGCTACACGTATTCACTGTGCTTTTGTGAATGCAGAACAATACTGTATATTTAACAGTAATGTTTCACCGTATAAGCTTTGACCTCAATTTGCATCCTGACACAAGTGGCGTTGCTACTATTGCCAAGTAATTTTGTGGTTTCCCATTCTTTACGCAAGTATTTGGCATTTGTCTGACAAAATGTTTGTGCTTTTTGGATGTAGTTTTACATGGAAATGCGAACCATTGCCTAAAAAGATAAACCAAACGTAAAAAATAAAAAACGTTAAAAAAAGCAATAAGCAAGCACCAATCTCTTACTCATAAATATTTCAGGGTTCACTATTTGAATAGAAAAACCTATGCACTGATCTCTGCCTTTCCTGGATGACATCATAGCAACAGCGCCCTCAGTTTCTTGGGAGAGCATGTGTAAGTTTGAAAGTTTAAACACGTGCACTTTTCAGTGCATTTAAGTAACCAGGTATGTAACGGAGTTAACATACATTGAAGAAGAGCGCAAAGTTGCAGTAAAGTTGTGTGTGCGAAAGATTCCTTGCAGCTACACCTTATAACCTTCGCATATTATCCAGCGTGTCCAACAAGACTGGAATAGACAAAATTTCGGTCACACAAAATTTCGGTCAAGCCTGTTATTAATTCTGATTTGTCTTTTTAATTTTCAACTCAGTCCTTGCTCGTATATATGGTTGTCCAAGATCAAGGAAGCCCCATATTTAACTTGACATAAAATCCCCCCCCCCCAATGTGGAGTTATAACACCACGTGGGCCGAAAACACAATATGGTGTGTATGCTGGCAATTACGCCTGCTATTGTATTTTACCAGCGACCTTTCTGAAGTACCGGTAGAAGACCTTTTTCTCGGGTTGAACGACAGAATACTGACGTCATCAAGACGTCAGTTTCCCACCTTTTCACGATCTTTCATATCTTGCACGATCTGAAATGTCTTCGAGGACAGTTGGAGCCTTGACTGGAGACTTAATGTTTTAATGGAATCTTTGTGTCTTGTGGACACAATAATGGTCGTTATCATAGTGCTGTCGCTCGTCAGATCTCGGAACGCAACTTTTCACCGTTAGTTAGAATGCGTCATCATGTGTATAGCAGCCCTGTTGTTTCTTGCAGACGTTCTCAGTAATCTGACTCAAGTGACGCAAAACTTAACTCACTGAATGAACGCACTGCTGTTATTACCACTGATATTATGTCACTTATCCATGAATGGGGAAAAGCTTGATTTTAGCTACAAGAGAAGATACTACCAACTAAACAAAAACAATTCAGTAAAATCTACAGTGAATTTCATGAAAGGGCTTCGCGTCCAACAAAATTCATCAGGTTCGAATCTCGAGGTGAATTTTTAAATCTAAAATTAAGCATCATCTATCAGAACTCAGTGACTCAAATGTATCTCGAATTCTGTCTCATTTTTGACCACTCGTCATTATTGAACATACGCATGGATCACCTCTAGGTCCTGTCTTTCGATTCAAGGTAGCTAACTTGTAAATGCGGGAAAACTTATTTGTTTGGTGCGTTTGTGTTTGCGTGTTGACCCTACTTGAATTTGAGAATATTAATAAAGTTGTGGACTTACCAAAGTATCCCGCTGTGTTTAAAAAGACCCGCTTCCCTCGATTCCTGACGCTACTCTTTGGAGACGCCATTACTGCGGTGGCACCACACCCACGCAGGCGTTCCTCAACTTGATGCGCGTGTGCGTTTGACCAGTCACAACACCTTATTGGTCGCAGAGGCATTCAACGCTCGCGTACCACCTGTCCACGAGCATTGTGCCCCCGCAGTGGTGGTAGACTTCCCATACAGCTGCCTTCGGAATTAGTCTATTGTTA